CTCTGATCTAGATCCAAAGTAAAAGTTTCAGACAAACAGAATTTAATTGTGAACAAGAATGAAAACCGAATCTACACTAAAGTGAACAACTCAGGGACCTTATAGTTCATACCAAACAAAATCTTGTCCAAGCTCCCATTGGGTAGGTATTCATAGACGAGTAGCTTCTCTTCATCTTCTAAGCAGAAGCCTAACAGTCTTACCAGATTCCGGTGCAGTAACTTAGCAACCAGCATCACTTCCGTTTTTAGTTCTGCTAGACCTTGCTCTGAACTACGTGACAGCCTCTTCACGGCTATTTCTCGTTCATCAGGCAGTTTTCCCTAGAGGTGCATATGGACAGTGTCATTTACACTAATGTCAAATAGAGAATGCCCTGATTACGAATGAATTGTAAGTACCTTGTAAACTGGACCGAATCCACCTTCTCCAAGTTTATATGCTTCTGAGAAATTGTTGGTTGCAACTTTAAGTGTACTTAGTCCAATCAAAAGCGCATCCATGCTATTATTACCATCTTCACGTAAAACAGGAACATCATCTACCTGATAATATGCTAAGTTAATGTCTTGGGACATATAAAATGCAACAAGCACTGGCCTAAACAGAGAACCTTCAGCATATAAATCTCCACTAATTGGTCAAGATGTTAGAAGAAAGCTCAGATCTTACAGCTAGAAACGTGATTAAATTCTGTAATTGATAAGAGCTACGAGCTACTTACCAACCCCATTTCTCTTTGCCTTTTTCCAGAATAAGTAACCAGCGCAGCTTGTGGCTATCACAGTCAATGCTAAAGCTAGTGGGATTACTATGATAAGGATGATTTTTGAATTGCTCTTCTTTCCTGCAAAAACATGAAATGATTGCATCTCTAATTCATATTTGATTGTTTGCTGGAACAGCACTCAATTCATAATATTAAAAGTTTATTATATGCTAATTAAATGAATCTGATAATTGATGCAATTGATTCATCGCAAGAATAACATACTAATTTCAGGGATGTGTCAAAAGAACCTAAGAATTTACCAGCATGACCAGCCTTAGGCTCAAGCAAGGAAGGAGATGGAGGAGATGCCACTGGAGGTGGCTGATGCTCTATTGGTGACAGAAAAAATGAATATATCTCGTACCGAAGATAACAACTCTTAGAAATTAGTGTAGCCCCAACATATCCATCACAGCACTTAGGAACATGGCTGGCAATCTCTTGCAGGCAAGTTAAGCAGGTGTTTTCTGCTAAGTCTTGGGTGCACTGGGCCATGCCATATATATCATTAAAATCTGTGTAACTGGTGAACCCAAGAGCAAATCTGGAAGGATCAGAAGCAGCTTTTGATGAAAGGTTCTTAACCAAGTTGCCTGACTGGCGTTTAAAAATAGCAGGATCAGTTGCTGTCTGGGTGTTATGTAACTGTACTCCTGGAAAACTGTCGAAAGTAGAGAAGAAACGGTGAGCCGAATACTGTAATGAGCAATTTATATAACCAACCGAAGCCTCCTTCTGGCTAAAACAGAGCTGCCTTATCTCAGTTGCAGCTGTATTTGCACAAGTATGGCAATCAACTTTGGAGAGGTCTCCCCTGCACTGAACAAGGCCATAAACCACATCACTGTTCTCACCAATACTTGTGGTGTAGAAACCTGTTAGAGAAGCATTAGCAACAAGATAATTGAGGGTAAGGTTTAGGTTTTGCTCATAAACACTCCCAGAAGTATAATTCACAGTAGTGTTACAGTTCGAAAACTGGTAGATCGTTTGGGCTATAGTGGGATGGGAAACTTGAAGAAGGCATGAAACAAAGAGAAAATAAGGAGCATATAATGCAAGAAATTGCATTTTACAAGGTGATGAAGGATTAGAAGCAGCAGAGAAAGGCAGCAAAGGGAAAAGCTGGATTCTCAGTGATGAATGCCAATCAATAGTCAAGCAAACATGGTTAGAATTTGAGCAAGTTGAACTTAGAATGATGGATGCAAGTCTGCTTATGTGGTGTTTTCTTAGAGGCCTTCATCAAACAGCTACGTACGCATGATTTTAATATCATTAAACTTTTCAAGATCCAACTAAATCCATTTATAAAATCCAAATGTCTTGACCATGAAAGAG